CCAGAATTCAACACAGTGAATTTTTTTATCTATAAAATTAATTTCTATTGATTGAATAGTATATGGAACATTTGTGTTCTGCTTTAAACAATCTAGAAGTGAAAATGTGTATTAACAAAAAAAGAAGGAAAAAGATAATTCAGAAATAATTATTTCCTTTATGAAAGGATTTACCATAGGATTCTTAAAAATGGCAAGCTCCACATGTGCACATTATTCCATCTAGAAACACTTGTTCTTCCCTGAACTTTCTGAGAAGTCTATTTCACATATGACAGTCACCTGTGTATAAATAATTATTCCATAAATGTGCAAATATCTGCATCAGGCTAATTCTAAATTCCTCATGTTGTTTCAATTGATTATCTTTAAGAAGAAATATCCAAGTCATGTTTTTCAAAGGAATTATTAATTAACTTCACTTAATATTTATTAAATATCCCTTGGACCCATATTAAACATGTTGAGTATTTTACAGAATGTGAAAAAGATGTGTTCTAATAGATTAACGAAGATTAAGAGTTGAATAGATACAGCTGAATGCTTTAATAGTTGCCATCTACTCTCAAAACTTAATGTCCTCACACTCACACATGCTCACACTTACCCTGGGTTCTTCACTTCCTCACTGGCTGTAAGCTCCTGAGGGCAACAAGTGTGTCTATCATGTTCTGGCTGTGTCTATCTGCATGTAGGAAGCACTCAACCAATTTTTTAAATTCCTGATGCTCAGTATTAATAAACTAGGTTATCTTTAAAGAGGTTATCTTTTAAAGATAAAGACCACTAGTTATCTTTTAATGCTAAGATTCTGTTACTCTAATTCATAAGCTCTCTTTTTAAAGGTACACATGTAGCACGTTTAGGTATTGTTTTACATGAGGTTAAGCAAAGAAAGGGTACATTTATGATTTTTTTAAGCAAACATAGCTTACTACATGCCATGTTTTAAGAGCTGTTACATGTATTAGCTCATTTAATGATATATACACATATATTCATATACTTGTAATCTAGATGCAGTAAAATAAACTTTTTGAACTGTTACTCAAATCAATATTTCTTGAACAGCTCCTATGTGCCAAGTACTGTGGCAGAATCTGCTGGGGATATGAAACGATGAAGACACAGCCCCTGACCTCAAGCAGCTGAATTTAGTGCAGTGGTTTATAAAGAATGACCGATAATCCGTTGTATCAGCATCACCTCAGAACTTGTTAGCAATCACATTCTCACGCCCCCACTCCAAACTTCCCAAATCAGAAACTTTGGGGGTGGGGCCCAGCACACTTTTTTACAAGCTCTCCAGGTGACTCTAATGTTAACTTAATTTTGAGAACCACTGATTTAGTCAGATATGTGGCAGAAACACCCACCTAACCAGATCCTAAACAAAATAATGTGCTCTAGAGGTTTGGTGACAGTAGGGCTCAGTTAGGAAGTGCCTGAGGATCAGGAAAGGTTGAGTCACGTTCCTTCAGCACACACTTACTGTTCTTACACTGGGTGCCAGGCACTGGGCTAGGTGCTCAGAACCCCAAGATGAAAGAGACAGTTTCAAGGAGCTCATGAAAGAGGTGACCCATGACATGGGTTTTACAAGAAAGTCAGTAGTTCATATATGAAAATGCATCTTTTTTATGATCTGATTGTAAAAGGAATGAAAAATGACAATAATAAAAAATATAATCACTATCATTATGGTACTGAAGGTAGTTATTTGAAACTCAAAGCAGAACTGTGGTTCTAAATAGCTAAAAACATGGGTCCAAAATGTCAATTATTGTTTTTTAAATTGTTACATTCACTTTGAAGTTCCTTAATTTTATTTATGCTCAGATATATTTTTGACAACTAATGATAAAATATTTATAACACAAATATCTTCAATATTACACTAGCAACAATGGAATCAACACCCAAAGTTCTCAGTATATATTTTATGATTCATTGGTTCAATAACCATTTATTGAGCGCCTACTGAGTGCAAGCACTGTGCATGCTAGTGACCAAGTGGGAGATTCAAAGGAAATGTATGGCCCCCCACCCCAGAGGAACTCATAACCCAGTGAGGTGATGATCTCAGGCGGGGCAGTGCTGGTTGGTTTCCCTCAGCTTTATTCTTGTCAATTATAGGCACCACATAAAAATGTTAACAAATAAAACCTCATGATCTTTGAGTGAAGGGAAAATTCTCATAATACTGGACTTAAATTTATGGTTTCTATATAATACTCACGGATAATACTGTAGCAGGAATAAACTTTGGTCTACAAACTCAAATGTGTAACAAATAGAATTTTTTTTCTGTAACTAAGCTTTATTTCCATGTTGAGCCCCCACTCAGTTGCAGTGACAATAATCTTCTCAGCGGTCTAGGTTAGGGAATTTCTGAAATGCCAAGATGAGGAGAAGCTGGTGACGTCAGGTCCTCGCATCACTGGTCCCCACAAGGATTCCAAGATGTTCTCTGTCCCCTCGGGTGTTGGGTTTTCAGTCTTTTGGTTTGGACGCTGACAGGCCTGACCCCTCCAATCATGGTGGCGGCCAGGCCTGAGGGTCAGGATGTCTGTGGCTTCCTTGCCCTGTGATGTGGTAGCAATCTCTGTGAGGCTGCCCTTCTGCCTAGACATGTTTGAAGCATCACCTCAAAACTTATTAGAAATGCAAATTCTCCCCCCTACAACTTCCTTCACCAGAAACTCTGATTAAAACAGTAAGCAGAAGGCAAATTCTCTGAGGTTCCACTGTCCGAGGCTCTGCCCAGGATGGCCCCGGGGCAGGCATTAGCAAACAGTCTCTCCTTCCCTTGGAGAGGGGAGGGGTGTTAGAATCTTATTCTACTTGCTCCTCTCTCAATCTTGATTTTTTTTTTTTTCTGCCTCAAGGGACACTCCTTGAGGAGTGTCCTCAGGACAATCCTGAGATTGTCAAGGGACAATCTCAATCCTGAGATTTTTGCTTCAGAGGCACCTAGAATTATCTTAATGGATTGAGCTGTAAGCAGGGAAGTACTTTTAGTTTTAAACTGAAAAGTACTGAGAGAAAAAAAGCACAACTGTTACCTGCCACACAACATTTTTGCTGATGAAGAGCATGAGGCTTCAGGTGAGGTGACTGGTTCAGAAAACCACAGGGAATAAGCACACAGCAAGGAACTGTAACCACATTTTCAGACTCTTAAATGCAATTTTTTTTCCCACCTACACCACCATCCTGCCCCTCCTCTCTTTTGATGACAGTCAACAGGCTACGACAAATCTCAAGGCACACGCAACAGGGGAGGCACTTTACATACTGGAGCTCCAATCTCACAACTTCGTGAGGTGAAGTTATAATTTCCATTTTACAGGTGAGGAAGCTAAAGTGGGGAGATGTGAAGCATTTGTCCTAGGTGATTGCTGGAGCCAGGGTTAAAATCCAAGTCTGGGCCACCCCAAAGCCTGCCCTTTCTCTAACACTCTAGACTGCCTCCTATGACCGAAAACTTGCTGAGAACCAGCTACCAGTTATTAACTACCTTCTCTGTACCAAGTGTGTTATATAATCTCTACTCCTTTGATAATTCTTCAGGCAAGGTGTTAGCACAGCATTTTTCTGATGAGAAGACTGAGGCTGAGAGACTTGAGTCACTTACCCAAGGTCTTAGTGCAGCAGAACAAAATTTGAACTGAGGTCTAGCTTTCAAGTCCAGGCTCCTTCTAAGGCAGCTGCTTTTGCCACTAAAACAATGTGCCTTCTAGTGAAGGAAATAGGGATAATACCAGTCACACTAATTTCACTATTGTTATGAAAATCAAATCAGATCTGGATATTGAATACCACGATGCTAATACTATTAAGTTGATACACAACTCCAAATTAGGACATCCAAAGGCTTGGATCAGTTCAGTTCTAAATCTCTCTCAGTTTTGGGCAATGAAACTATTTCATTTACTCTCTTTCAGATCAGCTTCCTTAGCACTAAAATGAAAGAACCGGACTGAGTAACTTTTAAGTTTCCACCCAGCTCTGAAATTCAATTTCTAGATAAAGTATCATATACATAAAAGATTAAGAAAAATTCCAAAACACCTCTCAGCTCTGTCTTTTTGATTTAGCATCTTACTTATTTTCCAACACTCTCAAGATTTATCTTTTGGCATCCTCAGAGAGGTTCATATTTTTGTAGACACTGCAATAATTTCCAATAAAACGACACAGCATAGAGGACGCAAACAATAAGCATTTAGAACATGTCTGCAAGTTTAAGTTTTAGTTGTGCAAAATATTTTGGGATGTATATCTCTTCCACAAAAGATGAAAGTAGGAAAGATTTCTTAGTAAATTAATTACCAAGGATTAGATCATAACTGACACCTACAATTTGTTTAAGCTATAACTGTTACTTCATCGTAGTTTTAAGTGCAGAGAAAATGTACTTGAACGTCAGTGTTGCTACTTCTCATTCTCTGATCTTGAGCAAATCGTCTCTCTGCTTGTTTCCTCACCTGAAAAATAAGCGTTCTCGTATTATAGACCTGATAGGGCTGTTCTGAGGAATGAGATAAGCCATATCAAATACAGTACCTGGCACACAGTAAACGTCTAACAAACGTTCGGCTATTGTCACCGTCGTTTCTGTCGATAATTATTTTCATATGTGAGCAAGTCAGTTCAGAGTATTATTTCAACAAATACTTGAGCGCCTACTACGTGCCAGGCGCTGGGGTTACAGGGAATTAAAGTCCCTGGCCTTACATCACGTTGGAGGAGGATTAGGAGACAAACGATACACAGGTTAAAATAAGAACACCAAAAGAATTTCAGACGTGACAAGCGCCCTATTTGGGGTAACGTCTATCTGCCTTCCCCGCCTCTCCCCCGCGAGGCTGCCCTGAGGCTCCCTTTGGCCTCTGCCCTGAGATACCCTTTGGCCTCTGCCATTGGACGTCACTGGAGCGCGACCAATCGTGGCCGGCTCTGTGAACTTCGTTTTTCCCTTTCTGCCTGCAAGACTTGAAATGCCAGTGGTTTCCTGGGCAGACACTCCCTTCCCTTCCTTCGTTCTCCCCGGGAGTATTCCCCCGCCAGAGCCAGCCCGGTACCCCACCTTGCGAGAAAGTAGGAGCACGACGCGCGGCGCACCCAGACTGACGACACCCCCGAGTCCCCGCCCATTACGTCACTTCCGGGACGCTTCCTTCGCGGAGGCTTGTGGGTAGCTGGCCGGGGTCTCCTGGCGACGACGATGGCGGGGGATGTGGGCGGTCGCAGCTGCACGGATTCGGAGCTGCTGCTGCACCCGGAGCTGCTGTCCCAAGAGTTCCTTCTCCTCACCCTGGAGCAGGTCGGGCGCGCCGGGGCGGGTGGGCCTGCCGGGAGACGGGCTCGGACCTGAGCTCGCCCCCAGTAATCCTCGGTGGCGGTGGATACACCCGCCGCCGTCGCTCCTCCCGCTCGGATTGTGCCCCGCTCGACCCCGCACACACCGACCAGGTCTCCCCACGCCCCTATCCGTAAAAGAGACGTCCATAGAATATCAGGAATTCCCGGGAATTAGGACTTATCTTTTTGGGTCCTTGATGGCTCGGAAAGAGGAGTCCTGGGCGACCCCTGCGGCCGTATGTAAGTAAGGGCCTGGGGAAGCGAGGGACTCGTTAGAATAGCGATGAGGAGGGGTAGTCCTCCGGCACTATCAGGGCCGGAAAGCATCGGAGACGTCGCCCGTTCTCCACACTCTCACCTCGTTTGAAGATGAGGAAACTGAGTCCCAGAGAGGTGGAGTGACTTGTTCAAGGTGACACTAACGGTGAATGGTGCAGCCAGGAGGGCAACTCAGGGCTCCTGGCTCTTTTTCAGTTGATGTGGCCTCTGATAGTAGAGGAAGACAGTACTAAGATTAAAGTGGCAGAGAAGTACTGAAACTTTCCTTGGGGTGTTATGTAGCGTATTTTGTTGTTTTCCCGTCAGTACTCTAATTTCCTCAAGCCCTATTGTGGCTTATTTTAGTGATGTCAGTTACCTTTTACCTGTGGTTCTGAAACTTTTTAGGTACATCAGAATCACCCCGGGGCTTGTTAAAACACTGCTGGGGTCCCTCCCGAGTTTCTGATTCAGTAGGTCTGGGATGTGGCCTGAAAATTTGCATTTTTCACAAGGTCTTGCTGCTGGTCCAGGGACCACATTTTGAGAACCACTGCTCTGGAGCAGTGTTTTCTCTAATATGCCTATGAATTCTGTGGGAGTGTTGTCCAAGAGAATCCCCAGGGTATCTCCATACCTCTGAGTAAGTACAGGGTGAAAATTGGTAATAAACGATGGTCTGGTATAAGAGAGAAAATAAGTAAAATTTGTGTTTTCAAATTTTGAAGGAAAAAAAGTAATTGGGATAACTTTATCAGAGGACATAAATTGAATTTGTTTTGTCAGTTCTACTAAACGCAAATATTTCCAGGCCTTTCTGAATTGCAGTTGAAGAGCCCATAATCTCATTTCCATTCTTATTTTCCTTCCTAAATCCAAACTCTGTATCCATAACTACTCCTGTGCCTTATGCTATATGTTTTCCGGGATGTTGAGGACAAATTGGAAAATGAGGGAGAATGAGGTGATTTAGGTAGGGGTGATTGGACAATGCCTGGAAGCTACTTGAAAGGACTGGTGAAAACATGAGGGGCAGGTTGTTCTAATGAGGTACTGTTATCAGTATGATTATCAGTAAGGGGACTGCAGTTTCCATTTGAAATCTTAGTTAACTTCAATTTAAGAAGCACATTAGAGAAATGTGGGAAATAATATACAGGGTGAGGTCTCCAGCCTACTAATCTGATCATGATAGTAACACTCTAGATAGCTTTTTGACAGAATGTAGTGACTGTTATCATTGTTAGCTTTCTTTTGTCTGGTTTCCCCAGGCAGTTCCCCGTTTTCCCTTCATGGATTAGGATGATGCTGCTAGAAATGGTCTTCATGCCTGGTATGTTGTCTGAGCAGTTGTGGACAGCAGTCCTTGTCACACTGAGGGCATGTGACTGTTGTCTTTAAGATGAGGCTGAACCTAATATTTGCAGAGCTTAACCTATTTATAATACTGTTTCTTGCAGTACCATTTAGGATTCTTAAATGTGTGTCTAATTGCAAAAATTGTTTTATAATTCGTTATTTAAGCAGTGATGTTTTACCCTGTTAGGTAGGTAGTTGTTAGTTATTAAAATGAAGGATGTTGTTTTGAAATTATGTTTGTTTCCTTTTCCACAGAAGAGCATAGCTGTTGAAGATGATGTGAGAATGAACAAAGACAGTCTTGCTGATCTTTATGTCCAGCATGCAATACCATTGCCTCAGAGAGATTTGCCAAAGAATAGATGGGGGAAAATGATGGAAAAGAAAAGAGAACAACATGAGATAAAAAATGAGACTAAAAGGTACTTTTCAGTGGTTCTGGTTTTCATCTTACCTCACATATGACTAAACAATTTTGCTTTTCTTTTCTTCTCTAGGTAAACTTAAGTAAAAAAAAAAAAAATTCCTTTACTCCATAACTATTGAGCATCAGGGACTGTGCTTATAGCAGTGAATAAAACTGACAAAATCCCCTGCTCATATTTTAATTGGGAGAAACATAATAAAAAAGTTAAGTGAAATACATGGTATGTTACACAGTGATAAATGCTAAGGAGAAAAGTAAAACAGGGAGAAGGATTACAATTTTAAGTAGAGTGGCCAGGATCAACCTCGCCAAGAAATGACTATTCTGTAGAGAGCAAGCTCGAGTTCCAGGCAGAATACAAGAGCCTGGGTCAGAAGTGTGCCCATCATATACCAAGGATAGCCAAGAGGCCCTGGAGGCTTGGAGTGGAGAGTAGGGGAAAGAGGTTGATTGGAGGTGAGTGGGGGAGATTGTTTGTCACATCACATAAAGCTTTGTAAGTCATTGTAAGGATTTTGGCTTTGCTCTGAGATGGGAAGCCATTGAGGATTTTGAGCAGAGCGATGACACCATGTGATGACATTTTAGCAGGCTCACTCTGGCTGCTGACCTGAGAAGTGATGTAAGGTGCGGGGAGGGGAACAGGGAAACCAATTAGGAGGTTGTGCTGTAATCCAGGCAATAGATGGTGGTGACCTTGACTGAGGTAGAGGACTTGGTAAGAAGTAGTTGGGTTCTGGGTATATTTTGGAGGTGGAGCCAACAAAAGTTGCTGAATTGTGAGAAAAAAGTGGAGTCAAGTAAAACTTGAAGGTCTGAATAATACAGAAATGAAGAGACCGTCATATAGCTTCAGGTACACTATTGAAAATTTTTAAATTTCAGAAAATTTTTATAAAACCACAAGCAAATGAATTTCCTTTTTTAAAGAAAGTTACATTTGATTTATTACTGTATTTGGTAAGTTAATGAGAACAAAGTGTCCTAAAATCCCTAAGTGGGCTAGTTGTTTCTTTTCCTGTATATATTTTATCACAAATGGGTGCTGTTGATTAATTACTGAATTTCTTTTTAGAGCCTTGTGTTTGTAAGGTGCTGTCAGAGGCAGTGCACTAGAGAGTGGGAGAAATAGAGTGAGAGGGTGGGGGTGAGGGAGAGCACTAGCTCTGAGTTGGTTAGTGGTTTTAACCTCTAGTTATGAAGAAAAACTCATGCTTAATAGGGAGATTACTCCCCAAGTAGGAGAATAGTTGAAGAATACAACATGTATGCTCATAGTCTTTTGGAAAATAAATACATGTACAGTCTCACCTTTGATCAGGAACATGTTCAGTTCAGATCGAGCGTCATTTTAGCTTGATGGTTCCATATTGGTACAGGCTATGTATTAGTGTTAACTTTCATAAATCTATGCTGTATATATCTTAATTTACTTTTCTAGGCTCTTATTAAGGCAGTATTTTCTTCTTGATCCACACATTTAAGCACATTGTCCTTTCAGTACTGTTATACTTCATACGACAATCCCTTTTAGTCCCTCGATATCATTTTGGAAAGGATCTTTGGCTCTGTTTTAAAAAATCACAATTTGACTCTTGAATCAGAACATTAAAGCTGGAGGGATCTAAGAGATCATCAGGTATTGTTGAATCGCTTATTTATTTATCTGTGGAGGAACTGAGCTCCAGAGCAGTGTTGTGACGTGCCCAGGGTCACAGAGAGCTGGACAGATCCTTAGTGCAGGGCTTCTCAAACTTCAGTGTGCCTCTCGAACCTTAGATTGAACTCTCACAACTGGTGTGGCCTGCTCTCAGGCCCTCTGTTGCCCTTCTGCAGTGCTGGTGGGTGCACAGTGAGCTTATTTTTCATCTTCTACCAAATGATGTTCAGAGTGACCCAAGAATTGATGAGTTTGGCAAATCACCTAGAATCTGGTTACAATGCAGATTCTGAATTGGTACAGGTTGAAGCCTCAGAGTCTGCATTTCTTAACAGCTCCCAAGATGATACTTATGCTGCTGGTTCCTGGACCACACTTTGAGTAGCAAGACTGAAGGGTTCTTCCTAATAACTGGCTGCTCAAGTTCTTTTAACAGGCCTAATTAAAAGGTTTTTTCCATGAACTATTCTGTTGTTTCACTTGAGGTATAATGAATAAATGAATGCTTTTATTATTTATCTTTACCATGAAGAGTGGAAATTAGGTTTTCAGAAGCTAAATGCGAAGATTTGCCACATTTTAAAATTAAAATTTTACAAATGTTACAGTTACAGTTAGTTTAGCAAATGCCTTGGCTTTAGAGACCTTTAGTGAATGAAAATAGAATATTCTGCCGCATTGTTTGTAGACTACCACTGTGGTAGTCTTGGTATAGTTTTATAGTTTATTATACTTTCTAAATAATAATTGACACAGTCAAGATAACCCTATCAATAGGATGGTAATTTTTAAAAATTAAAAAAATTTTTTTTTAGTTACTAGGAAGAAATCCTGTTTTGAGTTCTAAGGTTGGTTGGTTGATTGTTTAAAAGTAATTGTATCTTGTGTATACATTAAAACTAAATTTACATTTCTTGTCAATAAATATTTTAAACTTCAAAGCACTAGAAAATTATCGTTTCACTTAGGGTGAACAGAAAATTATATTTCCAGTAGTCCTACATACAGTAGATTAGTCTTATCGGTAAATCGTTTTTGGTCACTGTTTGTTTTAATTTGGGTTTCAGTGAACTGGTTTGCCATTCCAGATGGTCTTTTTCATGAATACATCTCATTGATTTCAGGAGTAGCACTGTAGATGGGTTAAGGAAAAGACCCCTCATTGTGTTTGATGGAAGTTCAACAAGTACAAGCATAAAAGTGAAAAAGACAGAGAATGGAGATAACGATCGACTCAAGCCTCCCGCTCAGGCAAGCTTTACCAGTAATGCCTTTCGAAAATTATCAAATTCCTCTTCAAGTGTTTCACCCCTAATTTTGTCTTCCAATTTGCCTGTGAACAATAAAATGGAACACAATAATAATGACACTAAACAGAACCATGACTTAACGCATAGGAAAAGCTCTTCGGGCGCTGTGAAGTCACCACCTTTGTCCCCTGTTGGAACTACTCCGGTGAAATTAAAGCGAGCTGCTCCTAAGGAAGAAGCCGAGGCTGTGGTGAGTATGGGGTGGTTTCCATCCTAAGAAGAGAGATGAATGAAATTTCTGAGCAGTTGGCCTCATAGCTGAGGTGGGTCAGCTATGCTACTGAACTTGAACCCTTAAATGATCTGTTTTATTTTACATCTCATTTCTCATCTCATTTCTCAGTGTTTGAACCCCAGAATTTTAAAATCCCTGATGATAAGCCCATGCTTTCTAAAATGCACTTAATTTATTTCTGCTTAAAATGTGTAAAGAGAGAGAGTCTCTTAGCCGCTTTTCCTAGATTTTCTCATTTAGATCCTTTAACATCTTGGAACTAAAAGAGAGGAATATTCCTTTGTTAGCGAGGCTCAGAATGTCAAGTAATTTGTCCAGGTTCACACATTTATTAAGTAGCATTTTAGAGCTTGACCTTAAGTCTGTCTGTTTTGCACTTGCCTTAAAACCACATGAGAATCTTTAGGACTGACCACTTGCTTCCCCTACCCCTCAAATGTTCCTATCTTTGGAAGGATAGAGGAAGTTTGGGGGAATCCGCTACGTTGTGTTCTACTGTACATTTACAGTTACCTTTGTGGAAAGGAGGAGGAGGGTGTCGGATAAGAGTAGGAAGAATAATTCAGACCTCAAATATTGCAATAAGAAGGAGCTTCAAGGATTTTTTTTCAGTCTCTTAAAAAGCATTTTTCTACCCAAGGGGATTTTACTCTTTCAGTGAGGTATGATATTTTTTCTTTTAATCTTTTCTGGTATTGATCTTGGATTGTGAGGTTGAGGGAGGAGATGGGCTAGGCAAGGAGGAAGCAGATCTGGAGCAGTCAGTGGTTCTTAACTGAATGTGAAGCCGGGTACCTGAGGGTTACTGTAGATATTCAATAAGAACATGATTGCATTTTAACCTTGTTCCCAACACAGACATAGATGAATCTTGTGAATTTGCTGTTTTCTTGTTGAACTTGAGGGGTGACACAAGTCTCGAGGATTTGTGAGTTTGTTTTGCAGAAGAAAGAGAATGCCTTCGGGAAGATCATGATCACTGGCTGGCCAGCCCCCAGCAGCCCTTGCAGATTGCACAGAAGGCTTATCGGGAGTGACCCCTTTGTTTCTCTGAAGCTCCTCCTGCCAAGCCCCTTAGTTCTATAAAACCCCCCTGCTTTTTGCTCTTGTTAAGGCAGGTTTGAGGGAACCCATGCTCCTACCTTCTCATCTTGGCCAACTCGAATGGGGCCTTTCTCCATCTCCAAGCATTGATGTCTCAGTGTTTGGCTTGCTGTGCATCCGGCACATGAACTTCAGATTAAGAGGTTCCGAATCAAGTGCACCTTAGGATCACCTGGAAGAGCTTCCAAAAAACCCAAACAGAAGTCAGAGCCTCGTCTCTGCCACCTGCTTGGATTTTGATTTAATTGGTTCTGGGATCAGGGCCAGGCTTGGGCATGTTTGTTAGTGCCCTGGGTGATTCTAATATGCAAACATTTGAAAACCACAGCTCAAAGAATGGGAGCCAGGGGAGGATAGCTTTTTTTCCTCGTCTCCTAAAATTTTTTCCCACCAGATGGCAGCAGTGATCTACCATTCATATGTTAGTAGTAAACCTTGGTGGTTTAAAATGTCCATTTCAGGGGCCGTCCCTGTGGCTTAGTGGTTGGGTGCGGGCGCTCCGCTACTGGCAGCCTGGGTTCAGATCCCGGGCGCGTACCGACGCACCGCTTCTCCGGCCATGCTGAGGTGGCGTCCCACATACAGTAAGTAGAAGGATGTGCAGCTATGACATACAACTATCTATTGGGGCTTTGGGGAGAAAAAGGGAAAAAAAGGAGGAGGATTGGCAATAGATGTTAGCTCAGGGCCGGTCTTCCTCAGTAAAAAGAGTTAGCTCATGGTTGATCTTCCTCACCAAAAAAAACCCGTCCATTTCAGTTATTCTCTGATATTTCTGTAAGTATAAACTGATTTCTCTTCATGTCTTTCAGAATAACCTGAAGCCCCCAGAAGCAAAGAGGAAGATACAACATGTTACATGGCCATGAAGGAAAGTTTCCAAAAATGTAAATATAACTGTAACTAGTTTTTCAAACATGTTCACATACATTGACAGTATTTACAGAGATCCTGATTGTTATGGAATTTTCTTAAGAGATTTAAAATTACGTTCAAAAAAATAGTCTTGTCTTTCTTTTCTTCCTTCCCTCTCTTCCTTTTTTAAAAAAATTATTGCCTTTCATGCCCTGATTAGGAAAGAATTTTTTTTAAATGAATGGCTTAGTATAAGTCTTTTATATTGACCCTAGTCAAATCATTAGCTGCAAGTCTGGTCCAAAGCATCTGATGAATTTCAGGAATTATCCTCATTAGTCTATTTTAGTCTTTGGGGGAATTTGAGATTTTTTAAAAACTCAAATATTTTAGTAGTTCACAATTTTTATTTCTTTTCCCAAGCAAAAGAATATAACAGTTCCTCACGATATTTTAGCAAATACTGCCAAACTCATCCTCAAGGTTCACCAAGAAAAGCATATTTATAGTGCTGCCAATAAACTGTTCAGAATATATGGATAAAATTGCTGTTCTTTAAGTGCTTGCATTGCTTCTTCCCGTAAAAATCAGGAGAGAAATCAGTGCTTGCTATTGCTCCTTTCCTTGAAGTCATAATAGAATTGATTTATTCTGAGTTGACTGGTCAGTCTTGACCCTGGTCCACCCTTGAGAATATTCTTGTCATGCAGCAGCCCTCCCTACTCTTTTCATGAGCAGTCTGTGATCTCACTCTGTGAGCTCAGGTGTCACTCCCTCCTAGGAGCTTACTCTTTTCAAAATGAAGCTAACTGTAAAATCTTTGGGTGAAGTAATCACGTTAGAAGTGGTACCCGATGGCAGGAAGTTTAGAGACTTGGAAGAGGGGGGATAGAATTCTAGAACTTAAGAGAGTCCAGGGAGTATGGCAGTGATGGGGAAAACTCAGCGTGATCTGGAGTAGGCAGAGAGGAGATGCTGAAGTCAGAAGTCAGCACAGAGTGATGGCGTAGAAGTGTGCCAGCTGGACGGGGCTCCCTGCTGGTGTAGTATGGACAGCTTCCCACAGGGCTGTCACACACAGAAGTATCTGGTAAGGTTTTGTGTTTGTGTTAAATTGGTATTCTCATTCCACTTGTATAATGGAAGTCAGTGGGAAAATAGGGTACACCTTATATTCATGAGTTCTAGTGTCCACTTTTCTGCTATATATTTCTAACCAAGTGCAAAGGATAGTTTATACTTTGTCCCTTGTGTGATTGATCTTCAGATTGGGGTTTGCCTTTTCAATACTTTTTAGAGGAGTCTCATTCTTCTTTTGATTTGTTCAAATAAGCATTTTAGTTCAGCTATTCAATAGCCTTACAAAAAATTAATTCAGCCTTGCTGGTAAGTACTGTACTAAAACTCTAACCCTGTAGTTTTTAGCCATTCTGCCTTTATCCAGACTGTAAATTTGTACACATAAGACAAAATTGATACACACTAAGTGTTGCTAAATTGTTAATGTTATAGTAAATTGTTAAATATATAGTTATCTGCAGGGCTGATACATGTAATATTGTTGAAGGACAACTGTGATCCTATACATAATTGTATGTTAAGGGAGATTTTAAAAGTGCAGATTTTAGGGTAGAATGACAAATTATATTTGGTTGTCCCCTCTGCTTCCATCTGCATTTCTCTCTCAGTTAAGAGAGAGTTAGCATTTGACAGTTTTAAGTCAGTGGAAACTTATTTTTAGTTACTCAATAAAAGTAATTTTTAATTTGTATATTTAACTTACAGAGTAGGTTGGTAATAACAGCTGAACTGTGTAACATTGTTGCTTCAAATTGAAGTTTATATTATGAACACTCAGAATCAGTGCTCATATAGCAGCATATTATTGAGCTATTTTGAGTTTGAAATGTGGAGAAGCACTAAACCATGTACTTTGTATTATATAATACCTACATCTTAGCGTGCTGTGCCTTCTCGAGGTGTATAGATGCAGCTTGTCCTGATATGTCTTTCTCCACATAATGAAGCCTGCTGAGTGATTGGACTCTGAAGCAGAAGTGTTGGGAATCCTATGTTTTGAAGTGTTGCTTTGGTGTGCTTTAAAGGTTAGAAGGACTTGATTTGAATGGTGAACAACTTTGGAATACTCTTTGCTTGTAACCTGGGTTAATATTGTTGCTCTTGATTCTCTATTCCAGTAAAGCCAGCTTTTCTTATTATTGGGGTAGGCAGGTGATTGACATTAGAGTCAGTAGGTGGCTTCTGAGATGTAGTTACAGGCACTTGACCACTTCCTGCCATTGGCAGGTGGTCTTGTTCTTTTCTCTCTCTCTCTTTGGTTCCCTGTTTTCCTTTTTCTTATCCTCTTTTCCCATATTTTTCCTCCTTTCTGTAGAGCCTAAGCTTTAGGCTTGGGTTTGCAGGTCATACTGCTTGGCCTTACTCATTCCCTGAGGGGTGAAGAGAGGCTGACCCCCAATCCTCTTACACTTGAGGGATCATAGACTGCTGTGTGAATTCTGGAAAGTCTCAAGACCCTGCAGCACCCAGGCGCTCAGTTGCTTCCCAGTGGCTGTAAAGGCAGCACAGTTTACCAAAATAGCTTTTATTACCTAGACAGCTACCAGGCACTTTGGAAAGTGGGTTCAGCTACTGCTAGGAGGCCATAATATTTTTGCTAGTATTAAAATTCTTCAGAATTTTCATTATTCTTTGAAATAATATTTTGGTTGATGTAAGTTTTGAGAGAGGATTCTAAAACTGATCTAGCGACTCATTCAATAGCAATGACGTTTTTAAAACTTACATTAAGTGAAACTGCCAGTAGATTAAATCATATGTAAGAGCTTCCTCTATTTACTACTGCGGAACTTCAGTAATTTTTAGAGGCTACAAAATGGTCAAGACGTTTTTAAGTGTGCTCTTTTATTAAATGCTTGTGCAGGTTTTGTAATTCAGTACAGAAAGTTTAACCTTGTAATGTACATTTTTGTATGTAAAAAGTCTTTTAAGTAGCCTTATCCTTATTTAAATAAACTGAATAAAATTATTGAGTAGGTGTCATTCCTAAAAAAATAAAGTGGAAAAATACTCTGTAATGACTTGATCTCTTTTTATTTGAGCAAACGATATCAAACAGTGTTATTCTTTATAGTACAGCCTTCTGTACTTGGATTGATTGGGATCAGGATCAGGCGTGATCCCAGTAGTTCAGCCACATCTTGGGGCCCCTGCTGTGAAGTGGTGGGTGCTAGAGTGGCCTGGGGTTTGGATATCCTGACACTACAGGGGCTAACATGTTGATTGCCACTATGCCTTGAGGGATGGAAACGGACAACCCCCGAACCTTATCCCCTCTAAGCTTTCTTAACAAAGGGGGACAAACCAGTTGAGGGATTATTTGTGTTTGGGGTGATCTTAAAAAAGTTAATTTCTAAACTGGTATCTTAATATTGGAGACTGAAGCTCTAAATTGACTAACTTGGAAAAGCCTGGAGTAACCTTCTACCTTGAACTTAAAAAGTAGATCCTTCATTTTTTGTCTGGACAAGAGAGACAAAATCTTATTTCCATTTAGATTGTTTTTGCTAAAGTGCTTTTTAGTAACTGAAGTGCTGTACTCTGTCAGTTATTATTAAACTTGGTTGTCTTCCCTATTGTGGCAGAAAAAATAAAGATGTGAATTAATTAAGTTCCTGCTCAATGAAATAATGGATAATCATAATGACAAACAAATCAAACCGAGTCATGAAATAGTGAGGGATGGGGAAGGTAGGGTGAGGAGCTACTTTAAATATGGTGGTTAGGAAAGGCCTCTTCAAAGAGATTATATTTTGGGGAAAATAGTTATGGAAAGTTTTCAGGAGAAGCATCCTACGTGTGATAGATTTTAAATGGCTGCATATTCTTTGTTGCTCCTCCCATCCAAGGTGGAGTCTGTTTCCCACCACTTGACTATGGACTGGCCTTGTAATTCACTTTGATCAAATGAATGCTTCTGCTCTTACTCTTGGACGCCTGCTGCAGCCATGCAAAAGAGCCAGCTAGAAAAACATGTCCCAGCCAACAGCCAGCACCAACCACCAGAGACGTGACTGTTAGTCACCCATCCCCACTCTAGCTGCCAGGTGACTGTGGCTGCACGAGTGTCCCAGGTGAGACCAGCCCAAAGAGCTGACTCAGAATCCTGAGCAAATAGAATGGGGGTTGTGTTCAGCCACTAAGTGTTGGGGATGGTTTGCTATCCAATACTGGATAACCAAGATACCAGACAAGGGCAAAGGGAAACCCCTGAGGCTGTTAGAACAGAAAAACTGATGTGCCTCAGATCAGTGAGACAGCAGGGAGGGTCATATAAAATCAAGTCAGAGAAGATAGGCAGGAGCAGGTGGTGTGGGATCTTATGTAGGCCACAGTAGACTTTGGATTTGATTCTAAGAGCAGTTGGAAGCTGTTAACTGTGTTCAGGCTTAACCAAGTGTTCAGTTTAGTCAAAAGACAGAAATAAGACTAATTAAATAAGTATGTAACAGCCCTAAACATTTTTTTCTCTAGTAAAATTATCCCAGTTTTTTTTTAGCCTATTTGAACTAAAATATTTATATTTCTTTGACAAATAATTAAACCTTAGAAGGCTATAAAGTACCAGTAAGAGATATTTTTTATAAATATAATGACACCGTATCTAGCTAAGCCTTCTGTTATGTCTATTCTGCCCTGCTGTATAGTTTTTTAAAATAAACCTTTAAAAAATAAAGCTTTTAGGGAAGTTTTAGAGTTATAGAAAGTGCCGAGGTAGTCCGGTTTCCATGTACTACACACCGACTTCCTCTATTACTCATATACATTGGTATGGTACATTTATTGAAGTGAATCAATACTGGTATGTTATTCGTAGATGAAGTTCATAACTTTATTCAGATTTCCTTAGTTTTTATCTAATGTCCTTTTTCTGTCCCAGGATCCCATTCAGGCTACCACCTTACATTTAGTCATCATACCTCCTTAGACTCATCTTGGCTGTGACAGTTTCTCAGACTCTTCTTAAATTTTTGATGACCTTGACATTCTTGAGGCATACTGGTTAGGTATTTTGTAGAATGTCCCTCAGTTTGAATTGTCCCTCATGTTTTTCTCATGATTAGACTGGGGTCGTGGGTTTTGGGGGGAAGGTCATAGAGGTAAAGTGCCCGTTTCATCACATATGAAGGGTACATACTGTCACCATGACTTACCACTTTTGAGGTGAATGGTGGTCACCCAGCTGAGGCACTGTTTGTCAGGTTAGTATACAGTCACTCTTCTTCCTTCTGTTCATACTATACTCTTTGGAAAGAAGCCACTTAAGGAGTAGGGAGTTATGCTCCACCTTGCGAGCCAAGTATCTACATAAATTATTTGGAATTCTGTGCAGGAGATTTGTCTGTTCTCCCCCATTTTATTTGTTTATTTAATAATTTGTGTCAATGTGGACTGAGATACTTATACTTTGGGTTATAATCTAATGCTTTTTTTGCTCAAATTGTAGCTTTGGCCATTGAAAACTCTTTCAGTTGGTTCCTGTGTCCCTTTGACTTAACCTCATCATTGTGGTTTCTTTTGAGCACTTCCTTACTTTCTGGCACTACAAGAAGCTCCAGGTTCATCTTCTATATCTCCTACCCCAGTCCTAGACTCAGCCATTTCTCCAAGGAGCCCTGGTTCCTTTTATTGAAGAATGGTGTTAGAAAGCAAGATCTAGACACTACATGTGCTCATTGCTACTGGGCTGTCATTGCTTTTAGCCCTTCTCAACTGACAGAGCAAGGAAATATATATGTGTGTGTACACTAACCACTGTATTTACACATACTTAGAAATATTTCTGTACATAATTGTATCTTAGTAAGCTAAACATGAATTCATACTGATGTCTCCAACTCTAATCCATTAGCATATGGATCGTTCTAGACTTCCCTTGCTTGCTTGTCTGTACTTCCCACCCCAATATGAGAAACCTGGCTCCCACCACCCACCATCCATTTACTTAATTGTTCAGTTTCAGTGTACATGTGTAACAGCTGCAGAATTGTAACCTGCACCCATGTGGGAAACAACTGTATCAGAGTACAGTGATTAAGTACAGTTCCTTTTGCCTTTATTCTTACAGACTCTACTCATTTCCAATGTTACTTAAGTCATATCACTTTTTAAAAAATATGTTTCCAGTTTTATCATTTTAATGAAAAAGAGAATGTCAACTTTTTTCTATTTTCTTAAATAAACCAAACAAACTCCGTGGACAAACATATCATTCTTTGAACAGGTGTTTACTGTATTTACACTCTAAATAAGGAGTCTGAATAATAAGACATGGTCCCTGCCCTCAAGGGGCTTCCTTTTATCAATCCCAATTGATTCCATCTAAACATTCAAATCATTTGAGAAGGAATCTAAAGAACATTTAATAATTAAAGTCACAGTATTCTGTACACTACATAGTTTACCAGTTACGTTTTTAATTCCTTGATGCCTGAGGAAACCAACCAAAAACAGAATGGATTTTTCTTTTAGAAGATCCCTTCAGAACCCAGGAGATTTTTTTCCTCCTTTGCTAATTGTATAACTGCTAATAGGTGTCTTGGGATGAAGTTATGCTGCTCTTATTTTTGTAACAGATTTATTTGTTAATCTCTCTCCATTCCTTTTGGCAATCTTAGAAAGGTCATTTTCCTAGTTCATGGACACTTCGGCATGTGTGTTGCCCAGACCTTTCCTTTTCAGTGTTTCAGACAAACTCATGTATTCAGAGACGGCATTTCCTCCATAATCATCTCTCTGTGTAAGAAAATAATGTGTGTTTTATTTTGGATTTAATGCTTTCACTTAAAGTAAGTCAAATGATGGATTTTTCTAATTCTTTTCCAGTAGAGGTTATTCAGACTGTAAACACAATCTAATCCAGCACTCTGATTTTACAGAAGAGGAAACTGATGTGCAGAGAGAAAGTGACTTCTCTAAAGGCATGCAGTGAGTTGGTGGCAGAAGAGTGACTAAAACCTAGATCTCTTGCCCTTCTCTATTAAACCAGAGATAGAAGCCCCTCTGTCCTGGGAATAAAGTGTCCGAGGGTGCCAACTTTTAGAAAAGCAGTTATTCATAAAGACAGTCAACTAGGCTAATGGAGAGAAGAGATGTAAGTAATACAGAACTTTGTAGCAGTTAGATTTTGCACTGTCATCAGAAGATTTCCCTCAGGAAGGACAAGGGGCTAGGAG